TCTGTACTACTTTAAAATTAGTTGAGTTGTAGCTTCAAGAATATTATATATATCGGTGTTATTGTCTCAATATTTTAGTAAGCCAAAGTCTTTTATTCCAAAATAAATCAAGCAGAATCCAGTGATTTGGAAACCATTTAAACAAGGTAATATTTTTCAGTACTACGGAAGCAGCTTTTCACTTGCTGAGATAAACAATCTGATCAAGATCCTATCCTGTCTCTAAAAAGAGCGAGTCTTTGAGTGTGAAGGGTTTCCACTCTGTGCAAAGACTGCAGGGGCAAATAGTTCAGCAAGTTAAGAACATAATATCTCAACTTTAATGTTTAATGTTTCATTGCACTCTGAAATAAAAACATAGTACAAATAAGCAATTGGAGTGAAAAATGAAATCATGAAATCAATTTATAGACCAAAATGTATTCTAAACATTTTGACTCCTCAAAGTAGCCACTTTTGGCAGATATAACAGCTGAACACACCCGTGGCTTCTTTCTACAATAGAAATCAAATATTCTCCCATATCTGTTGCAGATGTTCCCATAAATGTGGACCTTTTAGGTTGTTTTGCTTTCACTCTTCTGTCCAGTTCATCCCAAACCAGCTCGATGGGGTTTAAGTCTGGAGGCTGTGCTGGACACTCCATGTTTTCAAGCTCATCATGTTGTTCTTTGTTCCTGAGGTGGTTCTGGCACAGTTTGGATTTATGTTTTCGGTCATTATCTTGTTGTAGGCTGTAGGATAAACCCCTGACCAACTAGGTCCATACCAGAAGGTACTGCATGGTGCTCCAGAATGCTGTGGTAGCTGTTTTAGTTTAGAGTGCCTCTCACTCTGTACAAATCACCGACCCTGGATCCAGCAAAACAGCCCCAGACCATCCCACTTCCTCCTCCATGTTTGACTGTTGATGCCACACACTGTGGAACCATCCTTTCACCTACTCAATGCCGTACAAAGATCCTGCGTGATGAATCAAAGATTTCAAATTTTGATTCATCAGTCCATGATACCTTCTTCCAGTCTTCAGTAGTCCAGTATTTCAGTGTTTCTGACACCTCGCTTTTGATGTGAGGTGTCATGAAAAAATCTCGGCATATTTTTCCAGTCAAATTCTCTCCATTTTCTAGAGCAAGTGGAAGTTTTGTTGTAACAGGCAGATCAAACACCAATCATCCACTGATTATTCAATCTACAAATCTGATTCCCATTTTCTGATAGCTTCTTAGATGCCCCAGTAACCATTTCTATTAAGTCACTGCCCTCTTGAGAGAGATAGTTTGTGATCTCAGTGGTCATCCTGCTCAAACTCCTCTTTTAGCTTCTC